GTGTCCTCTGTTTCTCCAGAGCGGTGGCTCACCATCACCCCCCAGCCGTTCTCCTGAGCCAGCTTACACCTGAGAACATAAAGACCATAAATGCAGAGCAGCTCTTGAACGCAGCAGGTTTGTGCACGACCTCAGGATGGACTCACGCTTTGATGGCCTCAGTAACAGAACCGATCTGGTTGACTTTGAGCAGCAGACAGTTGCAGGCCTTCTCGTCCACAGCTCGCTGGATCCTGCGAGGGTTGGTGACGGTCAGATCGTCTCCAACAATCTGCACAGCAGAGTTACAGACTGAAAAATCTGCTGGTAATCCTGGAAATACAACCACGTCTGCTCCGTTAGGAAGCGTGAACATCTGTGGTGAAGTCGCCTGATTCTCAGAGACATTATTCAGCCTTTTTCTAATAACCGCCATCAACATTTTTTATGACTCATTCCCAATAAAATACAGCCATCCATCATCTCTACACCTTCATCCTCACCAGGGTCATGGGGGGCGGAGCCTATCCCAGCTTACTCAGGGTGAAGGCAGGTTCACCTGGACAGGTAACCAGTCTATCACAGGGCTACACTTAGAGACAGACAACCAAGCACACTCACATTCACACCTACGGACAATTTACAATCACCAATTAACCTCAGCATGTTTCTGGACTGTGGGAGGAAGCCGGAGAACCCGGAGAGAACCCACGCTGCACGGGGAGAACATGGAGACTCCACGCAGGAAGATCCCGGGTGTCCTCACCGGGACGCCAACCGGCGACCTTCTAGCTGTGAGGCAACAGTGCTAACCACTGATCCACCTGCAGCCCCAATAAAATACGTCATTAAAAAGTGGCCACTAGTTAGAGCCAGTCAGCACCAACGGATAAATGCTGAAAAGCTTTCTTTTAGTTAAACATGTAAACTGAGATAAAGACTTTTCCAGGTTTTGTGTTATTCCCACTTATGACACCAAGATCTTAATTTTACCACAAATGTATTTTGTCTCCAAAGACCAGCAGTAGTCAATATCGACCCTGAGAAACCATCTTGGTTTGTTGTTAAACTGAGTTCATTTAATTCTAGTGCAGGGACTCCACATGTTCCCCAGAAGTGGAAGATCAACTTTAAAGCTGTCAGGCATAGATTTCAGTGAGAGATGCGACTCTGCACCACATTCTGTTATGAGAAACATGTTTTTGGATCTTTCCTGCGTGCAGTGCAACATGAATTTGGACCATTGTGTTTTGCCGTAGCCCTTTACGGAACAGCAGAGCAGGTCCACATCCGCATAACTCTACGACTTCTTACCTGAATCCCCACTGAGGCTGTGAACTGAGACCAAGCAGGCCAGTCGTCCTGGTCGAAAGGATCTTCAATAGAAACCACTGAGGAAAGACACAAGCTGAGTCACATGTTGTGACCTGCTAGTAATGGCACAGTTCTTACAGACAGCAGAAAGAACCACATCAGAACAGAATCCTGCTGCTAAATCTGCCCTGTAGCACATAATTAAAACCTCATTAACACAACCAGAAAGCACAGATCAGTTTCTGTGTAAAAGGCAGCAGCTTCTACTGACGGCCGGGAGGCGTTTATGAACATCTGGAAACTGCAGCATCTACGGATGCTTGCTGCAGTTTCTCTGCAGATGTACTCATCCTCTCCATTTCCAATGATTCCTT